TAAGCGAATGACTATTCGTGTAATGAAGGAACATCAGTTATGCAAGACATGGCGTGACGTACTGCACATTATTTACACTAGGAAGCGTCTCACAGATCTCATAGCCATGCATGGCCATACACACTGCTTATGACCGAGGACCTATGTCGGCACAGCTTTTCACCCTTCCAGTCCGAGACGCTAGTCCGGTCACCACCGCTTTGCCCTGTTGGCTTTCCTGGCCTCCTGACACCGCTTCAGCTTGTCTGGTGAGCTGAGCGTCCTCAGCACCTTGTCGTGGAGAGTGCTTAGGGGTGCTCGGGACGAGAAGAGTTTCCTCATGTTCTCCTCCGTCATCCACGTCTCTGAGTCTTGCTCCCCTCTCCGCGCTGTGGCATCGTTCCCGAACATGAACTTCCGCAGGTCATCATAGTTCCGGGAAGGCAGGCGCGGGTCCCGCACGCCACTGTCGTCGTAGCGTGTGAAGACAGCGACGATATTGCGCACCGCATCTTCCAGATGCTTTTTGAGGCGGTCGACAGACTGACGGATCTTCTCCTTGTCTTCGGGTTTACATCTGCCGAGAAGGTTGATCTCGGCCCAGAAGTAGCACGGCAGACCTTTCTCGGCACGGCGGTATACAAAGTCGAGCACCATCAGGAGACAGTCGTGGAAACTTTTCCTGTTAAGCTCGTCTTCGCTGTGGAGTTCTGCAAGCCAGAGGACACTTGTCTTCAGCAGGAAGCCCTTGATGGCCGCTTTTGGCCCGTTGACGACAGCGTTGGCGTACTTCAAGACGATCAGACAGTCCTTGAGGACACGCGGCAGAGCCTTGTACACCAGGTACTCGTGTCTGGAGAAGGACAGACGCCACTCGTGCAGTTTGGTGCTGCTGTCCGCCGAGCCGACGGGCACCAGCAGCGCGGGAGTTTCGCACAGTAGCTGCACCAGCTCTCCCCCCGGGTGCTTGTGATGGCGCTTTCTGGAGCAGAACTCCTGACTCGGCCAGTGCGGGAAGCTGATGCAGATGACCATGTCGGCGCTGGTGATCTGGTCTGTGCTCGCGACAGATGGTCCCTCGAAGGTGAAGTTCTGCAGCGATCTCACGTTGGTGGTGTGTCGAAATTTTTTGAACCCGTTCATTTTCATGGTGTTGATGAGCCTCTTTTTGAGCCTATGCCCGGAGAAGGGGATGGGGTCGTGCCTGCTACACGACGGCAGCGGCACGTGATGAAGCAGGAAGAAGCCCTTCTGTGGAACGCTGGTCTTGGTGACATAAATGGTGTCTGGCGATCGGGTCGGATTTCGTTTCATGTCTTTGTCGATTTCAACAGGTCCCAGCTGAAGCATTACGTCGATGTCCGACCACTCGAATGGGTTTCCATTGAAAGTCACATCGCTTCCCTCCAGCGCACTCCCGGACAGATGGGCTCCCTGGATCTGTAAACATGTCAGATCGGCGCAGCGACAAGGGTTTTTCATCGTTTCCACCGGTCCTCCGGTCATCCTGAACGCCTGCTCCGGAATCATGTCGTACCTGTCTGCTAGGGCGCGGAGTTTGGGATCCTCGGGGCGTGCGAACAGCTTCTCTCCGTAGTAGAACTCTCCGATCTTGGACACAGCCACCTCCTCGGCAAGAAGTTCGTGAAATCCTCTCTGTTTGAGCTTCTGGTTTCTTCCACGAAGCTGTGCTCTTAGAATCTGGTAAAGGTCAGCGCTTCTCAGAGAACCAGAGCTTTTTTGTCCGTCTTTTGATGGCATCAGCGTCTTGTTTCGGTTTCTCCCCGTCGCCATATTGAGGTTTGTTCCGGATGAAGTCTCTTTTTGGTATATCAATCACTCCAATGCTTGGATGAGAAACTTCCTTCTATAGTCCCGAAGATGAGATCCACTGGGCTCGGTTGAAGTCGCTTCCAGGGCAGCTCGGGACTCAGCTCCTGACTTCATGGCCGTTGTAAGCAGCTGATCACGCGGCGTTCGCTGCCACAGCGCAGGCTGCACTGAGGTCCGCCCGGTGCCTCTCCAAATATAAAGGCAGACATGGACCGTCATCGTTAATTCATGGAATGTGTGTTCAGAGGCCAGTCAACATAAGATGCAAGTCTTGTGCTATTTATTCACAAGGCATTCATGAGGCAACATGGTTCGGCGATCTCCAGTTTATGCGCTAGTTTAATTGCAGAGTATTTACCACGCTTTTCTACGTTACTACATACACGGTTAATTTGTCCCGTTGAATTTGCAAGTAAATAATACAGCAAGAAGTCACAACCTCACAACAACGGATCGCGCCATTCTATTTGAAGGACAAACTGTGATAAATATGCTGCGCAATTGGAGGCTCCAGCATGACCTTGCCCGTTCACCCACACTGTTGCATGTGGGGCTCCTCTCCAGACTACAAATTTATGCTTCTCAGAATGTGAGCTCCTATGCTTCCTTCGGTATGCATTTGCAATGATAGCACCCGGTCATCTTACTTTCAGGTAGTTATCTTAGCTGCACAACCGCCTTCGGTGAAGAAAGCTGAGTTTTCTTAGGGTATTGTAGCCTATTTTTCATTTGTATTGTGTTTTGTAGGTTAAAGGCGGCTGTGATTTCTACTTTTGATATAGCACATCAATCTCAAGACAATATCAGAAACCGCATTAGCGTTTTCGTTATAGTTTAAGAACAGTCGGCCAATGAAGATTTATTGCTCTTACTTTACATGTATGCTCTTGTCGATCCTTCGCATTCGATGCCTTACACTGCGTCTCTGGAGACAATGTAAAGAAGTCATGTTCGGGGTAAAATTCATTCGTCGCAATAATGGAAGACGTTCGAGCAAATGGCTCGTCGATGTCTCGTTTGATGCGACCAATAAAAACATGTTTCCTACACGAATACGAAAATTCATGCATAAATTTCTGGTCAGTGCACACTAAGGATGATGTCAATTTCACCGTTACTACGTAGTGTAATAAACAACATGTAAGTAACATGTTATTGCAAATAACATGCTATTTATTGCACCATGGTTACTATGGTATGGTTATTACACTATGTAGTGGATGCTAAAACCAAAATAAATTTCAACCAAATCACGAGAAAATAACTAAAACCGAACCGCCTTAAAGGGAGATAATGAGCTTTCTTTTTTCTTAAATAAAAATTACTCGACATCTATACTATTTCTACTGTAGTTTCTATAAAATATGAAAATTTCCTACCACATTTTCGTATGTGAAAAAGGTTTTTATTTTTGCAAAAAAGAAGCAGTACTTGCAGTACTTGCAACACCCACCGAAATGCGTTGTCCTTCTCTACAAAAAAGTCGCAGTATATGGCGCTTTTGTTTCAAACAGCGACGCTTGGGTTTTTGTTTATGTTATCGCCTTGTCGTTGCTTGGTTGTAAGGATTCTAATTTGAATTATAGTTAATTCGGTTTAGAATTAATTAGATTCTAATTCGGGGGTACATAGTGCCTACTCTTCTTTGTTTCCAAGTATTATTTTGCGCCACAAATGAACGGCATGCGCCAGAAACGCAGCCAAATCTTGCGATTGCGACTACGAAATTCATTATTTTGGCGTCAGAGCCTGAAGCGAAAAATACAAGCATATTTATTTCAAAAGACTTCAGGTTTGTCGAACGGTGTTATGAGAATTTTGATAACAGTACTGCACAAGTTTTTCAGTGATGCCGCAAAAGTGTTGTAGGTATCTATCTTCTTTTATTGTGCAGTCGGCGGGACCGATTCAAAATTGAGTCGTTGCTACTAAAATAGCAGCATATGGCGTCAGATGATGAACGGGAAAATAGTTGCGTAAATTTAGGCATAAACCACCCCCAAACCATGAATATCTTTTGAAGGCACTATAGACGACCATTAACTAACTAGATGTGATGAAGATCAAATGTAAGGAATACGCTCATTTTACAAAATTACATGCAAGTACCAAAAAGTGATGTAAGTACTTATTCAACGGTCATTTTCAGCGCTCCCCGCTAACGTGACTTCAAGTTGAGATATTTGCGGCAAGGTACCGAATTGAGCAAAATGGTTTTAATTTACATTATAACTTGTTGTGTTTTGTCAGAAAATGGTCCTAACTCAGATTTTGTGGAAAAAGGTCATTATCTCCCTTTAAAAAAAGAATATGATGCTCTGTATGTTATGTAACCCTGTCTCCTCCAGGGCTGGTTGTGGGTATGACGCCTTGTTTGGCCTTTATCTCTATCTTCCCCAGGGCTGGATGTGGGTATAATACCCTGTTTGACACCCACCTCTATTTCCCCCAGGTCTGGGTGTGGGTATGATACCCTGTTTGACCTCTATCTCTCTATTTTCCCCAGGGCTGGGTGTGGGTATTACGCCATGTTTGACCTCTATCTCTATCTTCCCCAGGGCTGGGTGTGGGTATGACGCCCTGTTTGACCTCTATCTCTATCTTCCCCAGGTCTGGGTGTGGGTATGATACCCTGTTTGACCTCTATCTCTATCTTCCCCAGGTCTGGGTGTGGGTATGATACCCTGTTTGACCTCTATCTCTATTTTCCCCAGGGCTAGGTGTGGGTATCACCGATCACGCCCTGTTTGACCCCCACCTCTATTTTCTCCAGGTCTGGGTGTGGGTATGATACCCAGTTTGACCTCTATCTCTATCTTCCCCAGGTCTGGGTGTGGGTATGATACCCGGTTTGACCTCTATCTCTATTTTCCCAGGGCTAGGTGTGGGTATGACGCCCTGTTTGACCTCTATCTCTATCTTCCCCAGGTCTGGGTGTGGGTATGATACCCTGTTTAACCTCTATCTCTATCTTCCCCAGGTCTGGGTGTGGGTATGATACCCTGTTTGACCTCTATCTCTATCTTCCCCAGGGTTGGGTGTGGGTATGACGCCCTGTTTGACCTCTATTTCTATTTTCCCCAGGGTTGGGTGTGGGTATGACGCCCTGTTTGACCTCTATTTCTATTTTCCCCAGGGCTGGGTGTGGGTATGATACCCTGTTTGACCCCCACCTCTATTTCCCCCAGGTCTGGGTGTGGGTATGACCCGAGACAGCTCGGCTCTGATGGTCGGTCAATACTTCAAACGGCGTCGCGAGCTGGTGGAGATCTTTGTCGTCTCTGGCAGCGGGCTTGGCGTCACCGTGATGTCAGTCTTCGTCAATGGCACGGTGGGGTAAGTAGGTATAAATATCAGCGTCAGTAAAAATATCTAAGCATAAATAAACTCACATACTTCAGCGCATTTTCGTATTTTGTATCATTTACTGTGAGTTTTTATGCTTATATTGTGAGTTAGATCCTGAACAAAAGGAAATTTATCACTATTTTTGCTGCAATTGCAGTTCGACAGACTGCCATTCAAAGACAATGCGCCTTTAACGGGAATAGTATGTTTTCCAAAGAGTGGAATAGCTGCATCACTTCTTTTTTTACGAGAACGATGCGGTGGCACCTGTAAAAGCTCAGAAACTTATCACTATTTAAACAGACGGATGCGCTCTTATTAGCTCCAATGGACTATTATTAGGGGGCTGCATTGAACCTTCGTGACTCATCAATAATCACATAGGTAACTATATCCGACTTTTACTGCATCCTTACCACTCTGCCACAGAACCATCCCGTACGCCTAACGCCCCTTTCTTACAGTAGCGCCGTTTGCCGATATTTGCCTCTGATGAGCCCCACGCCTGTTGGCTGTTGTCCTCTATGTTTTCAGGTGGGCTGGCTGGCGGCTCGGCCTCCAGGCCGTCACCGGGGCCGTCTTCGTCACCTTCCTCTTGGGCACGTGCTACCGGTCGGCTTCCCTCTATCACCCCCAGAGGAGGGCCATCCTGCACCTCAAAAACCAAAAACGCAAGGTCAAAGACAAGAAGACGGCAAATAAAGTGGTGAAACCGGTCAATAAGGTAATTATTGAGTTGTGTCGGCCGAGTTGTTGCAGTTGGATTCTTCATTCTAGCGATAATTTATTATAGTGATACCCTGGATGAAATAATGATAAGATATCTAATAGTAGGTACCTATTATCCCATCCATGATGACACTTGATCCCATTTCTCACTGAAACTTTTTACGTCACATTTTTTAAATCGATATAGCGACATATGTTTTTTATATCGACAAGCAATTCGGAAACAAGATGAGATTAGCGTTTTGTATGAATATGAAATATAGGTATAGTCAATTCATTTCGACAGTTCCACTTTCGAAGCAGGCCGCTTATGAACTCGTTCAAAGCAGTGACGTTTGAGTGAGCATTAACCATACCAAGGTGACCGAGTGTCAACAAACAACAGTGACGTATCGGTCGTCATCGTCTGCCCGCAGTCGGAGGACAAGCCGCCGTTTTTCGATCTGACCACGCTCAAGTCGCGGACGGTGCAGATTCTCCTGCTCTCCACGTCTCTGTCTTCGTTTGGTCTGAACACCCCTCTTGTCTACATTGTAAGTGGTCACCGCTGCATCACTATTTCAGCGATATGGCATGGCGTTATCATATCATTACAGCGTTACTGGTATGCGGCATTATCATAATACAGGGTGTTTGAGGGCTGTTAGATTCATCAAACACATTTGCACAAGTAATACATGAATCATGAAGGAATTCATACATCATGAAGTCATTTTAGTGAAACTGTTTGTCACTTGGTTGCTCCCATCTTAGTCCCAGACCTACCAGTAGTCCCATACCCCCTCTCCCCCGCAGGCGCACGAGGCGGAGCGGGACGGTGTGGAGGCCGGCTCCCTGGTGCTGCTGCAGACCTACCTGGGACTGGCCTGGGTGCTCGGCTGCGTCACCTTTGGCGCCGTGGTGGTGCAGAACAGCACAGAGTGCCGCATCGGCCGCCAGTACCTGTGCCAGGCCTCGGCGCTCCTCTGCGGCGTGTCCATACTCGGCTGCACGGCCGTCCGCGGCTACGGCGGCTACGTCCTCTTCGTCTGGGTGTACGGCCTCTTCTGCGGCGCCTACAGCTACAGCCTGAAGATGTTTGCGTATGAGAAAGTGCGCGCCCGAAATTTCGCCAGCACGTGGGGCTTCATTCAGTGCTCGCAGGCGATACCGATCGCACTGGGAGTGCCAATTGCAGGTGAGAGGAAGGGAGAGAGAGAGAGAGAGAGAGAGAGAGAGAGAGAGAGAGAGAGAGAGAGAGAGAGAGAGAGAGAGAGAGAGAGAGAGAGAGAGAGAGAGAGAGAGAGAGAGAGAGAGATGAGAGCCGGGGAGGTGAGGAAGAGAGTAAGAGAACGGGAGAGAAGAGAGCGGATATATGGGATGAAATCCGCTAGACTCGTGCGTGATAAGCAATGACAGAGGGGCAAATAGACTATAACCAAGGGGCTCGTGAAGATGTAATGCAAATTGCGATTAGCTAAAGGAGTTCCGTTATCATTTTCGCATGTCTAGCAGTGAACATGAGCAATGAAGAATGGGAGAACATATTCATTTATTTAGCAACTACGCTATCGGTTTCATTCATTTAGTTAACAAATGTTATTCGTTCCCTTTGGTTTGGACGTTCCCCATTATGGCACTTTCAAGCATATAGGATTATGTGACTCGTAACGTATGCACCTTTTTCGTTCCGTTCGTACAACAACAAGTTTCTAACGTCCCTCTCCACGTCCACAGGGTACATCAACGTCACGGCCGGCGGCAAGGCGGGCTTCTACTTCTCCAGCACGTTCGTGGTCATGGGCAGCCTGACCATCTCGCTGATAGACGTACACCGGCGCCGGCGGCGGCAGCGGCACGCGCGCAAACACCACAAGACAAAGCGAGAGTGCAGCGAGGACTGCAAGAAGACGGAGCGCCGCTCGAGCCTTCCGGAGGAGGACGTTCCGCTGCCGATCGGGATCACCCTGCAGCCGAGCTTTATCATGGAGCTGCTGGACGCCAATCAGAAGGAGCTGACGTGTATCAGTGAGGAGGGCATCGCCGACATGGACATCCCCGACCACATCCTGGAGGAGCTGGAGATCTTCGGCGACATCACCACCTGCAACCAGGTGGAGAACTACCTCATGCTGAGCGAGTATGAGAACAATCTGAACGGACAGGGCCACGAGCACGCCGACAAGAGGCGGAGACGCTCTCTTCTGCAGACGACAGAAGATGGCAGGCATACGCTGCGTGAGTCGTGGAGGTATTTCCTGAACCGACACCGAAGCATCACCACCATAGACGAAGCGTCCGTGTGACCTGACCTACCGTGACCTTGACCTTGGGAGGGACTGTGAACGACCTGGGTCAAGGACAATCACGGGGTCATTATAGGTGATGTGTGGTGTTGGACTCGGTGAATTGAAAAGCCAAGTGTCGGAAAGTGTGTAATGCTGACAGCCAATGTAAGCTGTCACAGCTGGTATAACACGATGCCGAGACACTGAATATGCGGTGCTCCTGACTCATTGAAGGGACGTTCCATCCGCAACTTGTGGTGTCAGCGGCCCTTCGCTATGACGTCACGCCATGTCAGACTTTCCGAACGGACGTCAGGTGCTTGGCTGCCAGGGGACATGTAACGTCATACGTTGGCATCTCAGCGACGAAAGGGGTGCCAAAACCCTACGATCTTCCTAGTCATCAGAATACTCGACGTTTGCGTGCTATATAGTATTACGTCATTCTGCGTTCTTGTTTATAAGAAAGGAACGGTGAGCATGCTGCGCGTTGACAGAGTGATAATGAATGTTTTGATGTATTTTAGTTGCTATAAATGAGGTATATATGTCACAAGGGAAGGTATATAATATTCATCACTGGTCATACATAAATGCATTCAAACATACATCATCTTATTAGCGTAACTTATGAATGCTGCTTCAGAGTGACAGCGGGTGCGATTGTGCCGAGTTAGTCGAATTTTCAAATGATATCTTTGACATATGCCTATGTGTTGTTATCATCATCCGAAACGTTTTGTGTGATGTGTCATGGCTATTTTGGTTTCGCAGGCATTTTGGTTATTTTAGTTTATTTCACTAGACATAAATTTACCGTTTTTGGTATAAATGTAGGTGAACAACTTGCTATACATCGACAATTGTGATGGAACCATTTTTGAGTCGTATACTGCTGACGCTGAGTGATGAGTCAGAAATAAAATGTGCATGGTATTTGCTTTTTAGAGACCGAGAGACCAGAGTAGGTATAGTCAGCATTGAACCTAAGTGCAATACATTATCATACAAATAGTTTTTGCATAATATTCTTGAGCTTTTTTAGAATGCTAGATATAGGTCAACTTACTCAGATTTTTTATAGACACCTGAACAAAACTCGCTGCAAAAAAAAAAATGATAACCGTATTCCGTGAAACACACGTCATTGCAGTGCAGGGGCGGGGGAACTACGTTCAGACTGGGGGGGGGGGCACACAATAGAGATCACCCTAGGGTACCCCGAACTCTAGTTTTCTCACCGGTTTTAGGCCACTTATTTTTCATCCCTTGGGTTTTTCAACAAAAAAGAAAATCTATGACGCTGACGCCGCCCGTCTGGGGGAACGGGAACTAGGTACACCGGACAGTGAAACAGAGCCGAAACTTCACGGGTAGGCAGGTGCTAGCTAATAAAAAATGAGTCTCGAGGTGATACCTATCGATTCACTGTGGCGAATAGGGGAGAGCGGGGAGAGTTGTATCATGTCCAAGTTGTATCAGGGCGAATTGTGCCAAACTTATCCAATGGATGGCGCTCGCGACACGACCAGCCGACGAGGTTTTCCGGGCGCCATCTTTCCCTGTTCTGTCTTGTGGCTGAGTGGACGCGTCTCGAGGTGAGAGCCGATTTTATGTTTTTTTAATGTCATTCTAAAAAAATAAGTTGCAAGAAAATGTGTGTTTTGGGCATTTAGATGTGCACGAATTTGAAAGATCTCCGTAGCGGTGGTGAGGGTAGGTTCTAAGGCTGCGTGAGTGAAAACGGATTTCTCCAGCTGTCCGCTGTTTTTTTTAGCACGAGGATGTTTTTCCAAGATGGCGACTAGGTACATGTTGTATCAGAGCCGGGTGGGGTATGTTGTAACATGTATGTATGTATGTATGTATGGGTATGTTGCTTTTGATCGCGAAAGCTAAGCCCTGGCTCGCGTTTGTAGGTAGCTAGTCAATGCTCGTTCCATTTCGGCACAATGTGTTGGCTTCTTTGCTCTTAACGGGCCACTTTTGCGTCTAGTCTGTTGATGTTTCGTTCGGATTGCATTGACCTAAGTTTGGTCTAATAAAGTGAAGCCTTTGAGCATACCTATACATTGTATTAACCCCTGTTGCTGTTATGTTCAAAACCAGTAGCAAGCACACTCCCTGAAACGTGAAATAGTGATACAAATTACCCCACCATGTGATACAACTCACCCAAGCCATGGGGCAAGTTGTATCAAAAACATTGTTCTATTCGGCAGACCGTAGAAGAAAAACTGGTAGAGGTAGCGGAAAAGTTACTTTGCACAAAAAAAGCAGAAGAATCAAGGAAGGGGACAGTATGGAAATAATGAGTTTATCACGGATAGTTACGAGTTTATGGGTCTCGGAGTAAAAACTGATACAACCCACCCCACTCTCCCCTAATGAATGTTCTTCGAATATTGTTACCCGCTACTATCGCTAGTTACTCTATCATTCCACTGAGCGGTGCAGATCTACCGAACGCCGCTTGTGGTGCCCTTACAGTGTTTTTCTCATCAGCTGGCGTCCCGGACAACCCACGACCAACGACAGGGGCCGGGAGTCCTCGAACGTGCAGTTCCTACATATGTGGCGCCCTCTACGGCTTTACCTCACAGACATCAGGTAACGCTCTCTGCCCCCATGCACCACTTTGCGGTGCCCCAACGAACCTATGGCGTCTCTGGGTGTGGTCACAAGCTACTGCTAATTGATTTCCCCCAACTCTATCAGGCATAGCCGACTGGTTCTGTATGGTCCTAAAGGCTGTACGTACGGCTGCCACTTCGCTGCTTCTTGGAACTGTTTCTTCGCTACACAGTACACACGACAACATCCTCTAGGAAGTAGGTATTCTATAAATCTATACCGTGGGCTGGGGAAAATAGCTCCCAGCAGACATCGCTGGGTCTGCAAACCTCTTCAGCGCAAAATAGCGTTTGAGTGAGTATATGACAGAGATGCCGGCTTTCTCCCAGGAAACTGACGAAACACATCGCTGCAGTGCAGGTGGTCGGGTAGTAGGAACTAGGAACTGCCAACTCTGTCAGCCGGAAGGGCGCCAGGCCAGCTCGACCCGTGCACTGCCACTGTGACGCAATTACTCTGCCTGGAGACCCGTTCAGATATCGAGTAGCAGACTCGTTCTATATAACTAGTTGCCGGCAGCGCTCTTGCGTTGCCTTGGGCCAGAATTGGAGGAACGGTACTGAGGGCACCTATGACAGGTAACCCGCGACCGCCTGGGGGGGGGGGGGTCGGATCTGACCCCCACCCCCCTCCGTTTTTCTTGAATAACTCATGAACCGCTTACGCTATCTACTTGAAACTTGGCATACTTTCTCCCCCATCAATTTGACGTCTCCTGTGCAATTTTTAAGAAACAATTTTCAAAAAATTTGAGATATATCGATTTTAGTGATGTAACTACATGGCGTTTTCAGTCACAAAAATGGTAAATATTTAAAAAATCCCCAAAAATCGCGGTTTTAAGCAAATTGCAAATTAAGGAAAGGAATAGACGCAGCTCAACGAGTTCTTTAAAGTGGCTATCTCGGATTTTCCATAAAAATGCGTTTTTTAGGTACCTCTAAAAATTAAAAAAACTATAATTTTTGGAAAACATCCAATAAAATCCAAAATTTGGGAATTTCCAAAAAAAACGAATATATGCTATAGAGCTCTATTAGAACATTAGATGTCCCAAATTTCAACTTTCTATCTTGATTTTTGACCCCCAAATTGTAAAAAATAGCTCCAACATGCATAGGGCATGGTGACGTCATAAGCATTTTCGTGAATTAGAGGCACTTCTGAACATCGCATGTGAAAACAAATGGCACCACTAGATTCCTGGGACAAAGCTCGTCTAGAAAAGTGCATTTTTAAGTCAAAAATAAAAATTGAAAAATTGACTTTTTTCTTGGCCCTCGTTTAGTTATGTATGGTATAAACGATTTTTTATGCTTTCAATGCACACTTATCCCCAGCACAGTGACTTGGGGTCACATATAACCATCACCATCGGATTCGGCGTGAAAAATAAGCCATAAAACTGTGTCGCACGCCCATGTAGCAGAAAGTGAAAACCGTGACCTTTCGTGACCTGACCTGACCTTGACCCGTACTTAGTATGACCCCTATACGCACATGGTACCTTCACTAGGCCTTTGAGGTCATTTTTGGTGAGTTTCGAGCAGCAGCTATCGATTCCGCTGTCCGTAAGACTAATCATGCAAAACCCCTGAATTTGACCTTTGACCTGACCTTGACCCGAAAGTTGACCTCAATCTTAAAATCTTAAGAGTGCTTTGGGAAGGTCTCGTAGAGACCTTTTGAACGCCGCCTCGCGGGGCTCGATACGACCATTGGTTCTCGAGATAACAGGGGGGGGGGGGTCGGATCCGACCCCCCCCCCAGGCTGTCGTGGGTACGGAAATAGCCCAGGCGGTGCCGGGGTAATAGGTACCTATGACAGAGTTATCGACGCCCCTCCGGCCCGCCGCCCAGGTCTAAAACGGTCCAGTGCTGACTGCTGGTTGTTATTTTGATCGGCCAATCTAAGGTTGTTTGATAAGCATATGGACCAAAAAGGTCATAAAAAAATGTTGCAGTTCAGTACCAGCAGGATCCAGGGGCTATAAACTCGTAGCTATAAACGCCGCTTCGAAACAGAAAAGCTACTGAAGCGGCGTTTATAGCTACGAGTGATACCAGGGTTGGTTTCATGAAGTGGGCAAAAGCAGCGGCGTTGTTTGGCATTTTAAACATCCACATATGAATTGTGCAACACCTGTGTAAACTAGGTATACAATGTGGCTATTCTCTTATGATTCTTTTAGGATATTTTCTCTTTATCAAAGGAAATGTAACCTCATTGTCACTGGTCACATGCTTGTTTAAAAGTGTATGTAAAAATCAAAACGATTGAACTGTGATATTTGCTCGATGTGTGCCTCTTGCTCTCCTTTTTAGACGCTGATGACGGTGATTTAGCCGAAACGCGTTCGTCTATCATTTTTGTTCCGTGTTATTATAAAAAAGAAAACATTTGCAAAAAATGTGCGGTATTCTGTCTCAAAGTTGTTGGGGCACCGCCCCCACGGCCCCAGAGTTGGGTGGGGGGCAGGCTGCCCCCACTGCCCCCCCCCCCCCCGGTTCCCGCGCTTATGGTAGGATCGACCACCAATAGCTTGAAAGCAAATAAAAAATATGTATATTTCACATCGAAGGCAATACCTAGACATACACATTACACCGTGAACACGTGCCTCAAACAAATTATATCCATTTTGCCGCCGTTTTTATGGACCGGTTTGTTCCTCACTTGTAATTTGTAAGTCGCGATTTCGGCCGAGGCGGACGTGCCAGTCGAGCTCCCTAACCCCACTACCTTATCCGTCCACAGCAGGGTCGGGGTCACCTGAGCGCGCGCGTACCACTAATTTCCCAGACACTCACACCACGTCAACGAGAAAGCAAGATGCGACTACCAAGGTCGCCTCCTCCCAGAAAACCTCAGCGAGTCACACAAGCATCTCAATCTGAAGCTTCGCCCAACCTGACGGACGTCGGCACGGAAACTGCGGCATCAGTCGTTGCGTCGCAAACGCCGCCATCGCATGTAAATCGCGTTGAGTCCGATGATGGCGATGTGGAGACGCGTGTAGAGGGTGCCGCCAGCGAGATCGTGGAAATCTTGTCAGATAAAGAAGGGCAAGGTAAGAAAAATGATGCTATGGAAATACCCTCGGATTCTAACGGAGTAACGGATGGGATCTTTCCCAGCCAGGTAACCGATAACGGAACCAATGACACAAACATGATTCGCAAAATTATCACTGATGTCGTCCCAGAAGTACGACGACTTGACAGTGAGGCATACAAACCATGGGGCTCCCGGTCTAAGAATGCAAGTCCCATCCCTGGGGTAGGGCCAGCATGCTCTCGGC